AAAAGCGAGCCAAGTGCGTTTACCTTGATTTCTTCCTCCGAGACCGTCAGGACATCATCAACCCAATCCCTGATGATGGGCCACGTGTTCGGCCCGATGCTGGTTTTCACGGCGTCGGCGATGGTCTCTGGTGGGTGGCGGTTGGGGGTCAGCTCCCCCCGCACCTTGGACTGGTAACAGTCGTCCGCGTTGCGCGGCTCGGCACCAAACACTTTCACATCTGGCCTCAGCGCCTGCCGGGAGCAGGAGCCGCTCGGCTGAGCCCGGCGTGGGGCTGGGCACAGGGGCAAGGAGGCCCTGCTGCTGCCGTGCAGACCCCACGCACCCAGGGATCCACACTCCTCTGTTTCCAAAGAGAAAAGCTGCTGCCTGTCTGGGGAGCCCTGCCCTTCCCAGGGGGAGATGCAACCACTGCTTCCTGATAAGCTGTTGCCTACCTTGATGGCAACTGCTATTCCTGCAATCATTCCTCCACCTCCAACGGGAACCACCACTGCATTTATCTCAGGTGCCTGTGCAGAAAGGAAGCGTGAGTGCTTTGGGCACCTTGAGGACCCCTTTTTTTGCTGTGCCCCTACCTACAAGGAGCAGAGCCCTGGGCTGGGTCCGGGCCATGTCTTTCCTCACCTGCTCTAGCACCTCCAGGGCAATTGTGCCTTGCCCTGCGATCACCGCTGGCTCCTGGTTGGGGTGCACCATCACCCCTCCCGTCTCCTGGACTACACGAGACGCTGTCTCAGCTCTGGACTAAGGGAAGCACAGATGGTTGCCTCTCAGATGGGCTGGGCTACATCCCTGCCTCATCTCCCCTGGGCCGTACCTCATCGCTGGGCTCACACGGTACCAGCGTGGCACCGTAGGCACGGATGGCAGCTTGCTTACAGTGTGGGGCTGTGCGGGGCACCACGATGTAGGCAGGAATTCCTGCGTGAAAAAAAGCCGAGGCAAATCCAACAGCCCAAAAGCTGGGAGCAGCCCGTTCACGCTGCAGGAGGGGTGC